TCTTTTGAATTTTAAATTAATAAAAATATTTTTTAAAAAATTTTAAATATTCTTTTTATTTTTTACCAGTTTTTTTTCCATTTTTTTTTTTTTTTAAAGTAAATGTAATACTTTAATTGAGAAATTTTTTTTTCTTTTTAATCAATGTAATTCTCATGAATTTAATCTTTTTTTTTTTAATAAAGATAATAAACTACTTTTTGATCGTATTGATATAATTCATTTATTAAATTTTCTCTATAACCGTCTAACAAGTTTTTATGATTATTTCACCCCAGGGACACGTTTTATTTGTTACAAATTAAACTGAAATTTTCTTAGAATTTCATAATGGGAATAATATTGGGAGAATAATTTTTTTTCCATTAATTCAAAGAATTTTTCATTCAGTCGAAACTAAATATTGATTAATTAAAAGATACACATTTTTTATCAACTATTAATAACTAACTAGGCGAAAAAAAAATTGTCAACGAAAAATTTAAATAAGTTGTATTTTGTAAGACAAATTATATTTTTTATAATATTTATTATTATCATTATTATTATTAATATCATTATTATTATTATTATTAATATTATTATTATTATTAATATTATTATTATTATTATATTATATTATTATTATTATTATTATTATTATTATTAATATTATTATTATAATTATTGTTATTATTATTATTATAATTAAAATTATTATTATTTATATTATCTCTAATTAATTATTCTGAATACCTAGTAGTACGAATTTAATTAATAATTTTCGTTCATGATTCTATACACAAATATTACTGACATACTATTATTCATCTACAAATTGCCATTATTTTAATATCAATTTACCAAATTAATATAAATTATTCATTATTTCCATAACAATAATAATCAATTGTTAATTAACACATTTTGTGAATGGATAAAAGAAATTTATAATTAATTATTTTATTACTGACATAGATTAATTTATTAATACCGTTACTAATATTTAAATGTGACATAGTTTCAAATTTTATTGAGCAAATTTTTCATTTCCAATAGATATTTAAATTAATTAAAACATGGTGACATAAAATTTTTGAAATATTTATTAAACGAAAATTTGGATATAATTTTGTGAATATTTTAGTTCTTTTATATGAATATTAAAATATGTGGACGAAAATTCCAGAAATTGTTAAGAAGCTCATTATTTCATGATATGAATTATTGTAAAATATTAATTGGAATTTACTTCTGAAAATGCCAAAAATTCCTTTAATAAATTGTCTGTTAGGATAGAATAATTTTTCTTTTTAATCTCTGTCGAAGTTATTTAAAAATGAACAAAGTAAAATTTTGTTATTTATTTTTGTTATTTTATTATTTAATTATATTTTTTTATAAAATAAGTTTTTAATAAATTTTCTTCAATTACGTATTAACTATTTTTTTTTAAATTTTCATCATTGATTAAATTTCAACTTTTTCGTTATAGAAGTTTATTGAAAAAAAGTTTATTCTTTTAAGTAGGCCAATTTTTCTAATGGAGTTTATTTCTACATATTATAGTTTCAAACTATTTGCATGCAAGCAAAATTTATCAGAAAATTTTATTAAAATATATGTGAAATCAAATTTTTTAATTAATTGGTAAAAATTGTTTGAAAATTTTACTTTATAACTTTAAGTAATGCATATTAATTTTATAGAATTATAATTAATTACTTTTATTACTTTACTTATTATTTTTATTATTTTCTTTATTATTATTCATTAAATTTTATCAATTTCAATTATTTATCATTATAGTTTTATTATTATTTTCTCTAGTTTTTTTATTGTAGTATATTTTCATTTCTTTGTGAATAGTGAATAATTTTAAGCCACGGCTTAAATACTATTTTTTATTACGATTCAGTTTTCTAAAGTCAAACTTTTTCACTCATATTAAACTGCACTTTAATAAACAGTTAATGATAAAAACTGCTGTAACTTATTGTTAGACAGTGTGTCCAATTTTCTTCCGATTCACATTTGGACAACACATTTGGATCCGTCTGAAATTAAAAAAATTTATTTTTTAATAAAGTTTTCTCTTGGTTACAGAATTGTAATCTTGAAAAAAATTATTAAATAATTACTTCACACAATATTATTTGCAATAAATACTTACATTGTTCTGCGGAAGATCCAGTCATTCCAACGTTCGAATAACTTCTGCGACGTCACTCGTCTTCTGCTAGTTGAACTCCTTCGCGCGCCATCTTCAACTTATCAGTCAAAAGACGTGGGAAAATTCAAATTTTATTATTCAAAAATAATTCAAATCGCTTACTAAAATATATTTATATTTAAATATTTAAATCTTATTTATATTTTTCAGTTAGTATTTATTTTATTCGTAAACTACATACATATAAATAATATAAATATATTTTTACATTCATCGTTATCGTTATAATTATAATTAAAAATTGCAATTATAGTTATTATTGTAATTATAATAAAAAATCAAAATTAGTTATAATAATAATAAAAATATTATTAACGTTACTAATTTTCTCTTTATTTTTAGAAGTAAAATGGAAAATATTTTTTTGGTTTCAAAAAAACATTTGGGCAATTATACATAAGAGGGAATATTTTCATGTATAAAAGATTTACATAAATCAAATTTTTGAAGGGTGGATTAAATTTCTCATATAGCGTGAAACTGAGTTATAATGTAAAAGCACTTCTCTTTCTTCGCAATATACTCTCTCGAAAAATGTAAAAACAGAGAAATCATTTCCGATATTTGTCGATGAAAAGCGAAGGAATAAATTTTCAAGTTTTATGTCAACGTCAAAGTATTGATTCACATTTTACGTAATTTTCACGCCAAAGCAATGACTAGAAACACGTTTAAAGCTCATTAATCTTCTTCAAAAACGTGAAGCAAATTCTATTTACCGCGTCAATTTTTTAACCAATTTACAAATCTTCTTTTTACTAGAAAAAATTTATAATTTACTAAAACAAAATTTTTTTTTTTATAAAATTTTCTTTCTCTGAATATTTTTTATTGTTATTAAAAAAAAATTTTTTTTTCACATTTTATTTCAAGTATGAAATAATAATTTATGATTTTTTAGAGTAGTAAAAATTTTTTAATGGGGTAGAAAAAAAATTAATTAATTTCCAAACCAATTAAATTAAAGTTGTACTTGAGAAAAAAAGAACCTAATTTATTTAAAAATTCTATTTTATTCTAAATAAAGTTTTCCTTATTTGTTGATTATAATTTCAAAATACTTTTTTTTTCATTTAGTCAATCACATATCAAGTGCACGTGATTAATAAGATTTTACAATGATACATCATTGACAGACTTGTGTTCTTCTTTTTTATTCTGATTCGTTCTTCTCTCTATTTAAAAAATGTAAATTTAAAAACAATTAAAAAATAAGCAAAATATTTTGAAAAATGATAAAAGGTTAATTACACTGGGCAAATAAAATTCAATTAACATTTATTATTATTATATCCATATCGAGTTATTACAGTAGTCGTATTATAGAAGTCTATACGTATAATATAATGAATTTTTAATCATTATGGATCAACTTTATTAACATATTACATGAAAGTAAACGATTTATTTATTGTTTATTGTTTACTTATAAATAATTTTAATATTTCGATTTTAATATTTAATTTTTAGTCATTTCGTTTATTAATAATATATTTATTTTTTCATTATTTATTTTTCATTATTATTTTCATTAATTTATATTTAATGTTTAATAAATTATACGTTTATCGATATTTACTCTTTACTTATTTTATAATATTTCATCTTTATCAATATTTATACTTATTAATTAATTACATTTATTGATATTTAATTTGTAACAATTTACTTTATAAATATTTAATTTTCAATAATTTTATTAATATACTTTTATTTAATAACACTGAATTAATAATAATTAAATTTATTAATGTTCAATTTTCAAGAATCTGATTTCATAATAATATTTCAAAATTTTGAGGTAAAATATTTTTTAATTTATCAATATTTATAATTAACCTAATTAAATTGGATCTGTTTTTAATTTTCTCACATTGTCGTCGGTTAGTTACTTTCTGAGGAGACGAATATTTTTCTTTTATTATATTCCTGCTTTAAGAAATGAGGTTTCAGATTACTTAATTATTATTATCACGAAAGTTTCACGTTTTTTTTTTTAATAAAAATTTTTCTCTTTTACTTGAATGGCAAATTAAATTTCAAGTACGTTAATTAGTAACGGAAAATGGTAATTAAAAAAATATATAAACATGTAAATGAGAAAATAAAATTTGTATTACTAAAAAAATACAAGTAGAAGGATGTAAATAATTTACAAAATAAGAAAAATTTAGAAGAAAAGAAATTTATTTTATTCTCTAGAGTTAAAAGTAATCATTTTACTCACTAGAGTTGAAAAGAATTAATTTAACTCTCTAGAAAAGATTTCAAATTGGTTTATTTACTTAAGTTTAAAAATTATTTACTCCTTAGAAGTAAAAGTAATTATTTTACTCACTAGGATTAAAAGTAACTATTTTACTTCCTAGAGTTGAAAGTAATTATTTTATTCCCTAGGGTTAAAAGTAACTATTTTACACCCTAGAGTTGAAAGTAATTATTTTATTTCCTAGGGTTAAAAGTAACTATTTTACACCCTAGAGTTAAAAGTAATTATTTTACGCCCTAGTGTTTAAAATTCTCACATTACTGCTTAGTAATGAATTTAATAATATTTACCTATTGTTTATTATAGACAATACTTAGAAAATTAATAATATTCTATGATATGAATTGCTTTTTTTTATTTTCATTATATTATTGTTATTACAAAAAATATAAATATTAGGTATTATTATTATTATTATTATGATTATTATTATTATTATTTTTATTATTATTATTATTATTATTTTTATTATTATTTTTATTATTTTTATTATGAAGAATAATAAATATCTGTTTACAGTGGCAGTGGTTGTTGCATTTTTCATTTGTTGGGCGCCATTCCACGTTCAGAGGTTAATTGCAATTTATGGAACAAACTCAGAGGATCATATGAGTTCCAAAGGGCCAATGGAGGAATTTCTCTACCTTCTTTTCACTTATCTGTCCGGTGTTCTCTACTACGTATCAACAACGATCAACCCAATTCTTTACAACATAATGTCACACAAATTTCGAGAAGCATTCATGGTAATAAAAAAAAAATTATCTACAATTATTAAATGTAATTTTATTTAGTTAAATAATTTAAAAATATTTGCAGTCACTTTTTTTCCTGGTTATTATAATTACCAGAAAAATTAATTAAAACTTGTTACAAACCTGTTTAAAATTTTTTTACGACTAAATGCAACTTGTTCCGAACAAAAAAAAACAAGTTTGAAACTAATTAAAACTTCTTTCAAACTTGTTTGAAATTTTTTAAGACTAAATTCAAAACTTATTCCGGACACAGAAAAACTGGTTTTAACTTGTTTCGAACTAGTTCAAATTTGTTTAAAACGAGTTTTAATTTGTTCCCACTAATTCAAAGTTGTTTAAAACCAGTTTTTAACCTACCCTAAACTAGTTTATTATAATTTTGTAAAACTAGTTAAAACTTGTTTCGAATTAGTGCCTAAATTCCTACTAAAACCAGTTTAAATTAAATTATTCTATTAATTATTAATTATTATATTAATTTTAAATTAAAACTTGTTTAAATTTATTTAAAAAATTTGTAATTTAATCAATTTAAAACTATTTGTATCATTAAAAATTTTTTAAAACTGAATTCAACTTGTTCCGAACAAACAAAAACTAGTTTGAACTTGATTCGAACTAGTTCAAAGTCATTTAAAATACTATTTTGAACTTGTTTAATGTTGTTTAAACCTGTTTTAACTTGTTTCGAACCAGTTCAAAGTTGTTTGAAATCATTTTCAACTTTTTTAAGGTTATTAAAGAATTTTAAATTTTAAACAGTTTAAAATTAATTATAGTTATTTTGGACTAGTTTTTGGATTTATGTGAAACTATTAAAAACTAGTCGCTTACTTGTTTCATAAGAATAAGAATTTTCGATGATTTTAGCAATATTAAAAATACTTTCAGAATTTGTTCCTTTTTATACATGGAATAAAAGTGTATAAAAGTTTTTTTAAAATTTTCAAAATTTTTTGAGTTACCTCTTACTCAAAATTTTGGTCGGTTTTTCAAAAAATGCACATAACTTTTTTTCTTGTTAACCGATTAAGATAATTTTTTTTGGAAAATACTCATAATAAGAAGTACTTTAAAGAAAAAAAATAAAATTTAATAAAAAATTTTTTTTTGCCCGAAAAAAATTTCAAAAAATTTTTTGAATTCAAATTTTGAAAAAAATATATCTTCGATTTGAAAAATTTTTTTTGGTAAATATTGTCAATTAAGTAAAGAATACTTCCTGTAAATTTAATTATGGGACAAAAATAACTTTACGAGAAAAAAATAAAGTGTGCAGCGCGGCGTGCCGGGACTTGTGCATGTATTCACTTATGGCCGCGCAAGTTTCGTTTCAAATCACACTATAGGTCACAATTCTTTACCAAAACGCTTTTTCTTTTTTATAAATCTTCGTAATTAAATTCTCTATCAATCTCTCGAGCCTTATTTTTGAATTTTTGTTTTAAACATTTTTTAAATAACAATGAGTATTGAAAAAATCATAAAATCGTGAAATATATTTTTTTTAGTTTTATTGATTAAGAAAATTATTTAAAAAACCTATTAAAATAATGTTTGATTGATACAAAATAAATTAATTAAACACTTTTTAATTAATTAATTGTTGTTTTTTTTTATAAACTGTATACTTAGGCCTAGAAATTACTAGTTTCTTCTCAATTGTACAATTTTTCATGAGTAATATATCTACTGATGATAAAAAAACAATTATTTATTAAAACATTGTTTAAACAATTAATTGTTGTTATTTTTTCATAAACTATTTATACTTAGGGTAAGAAATTTATATTTGTTTTTTATGTACTTTTTTCATTTTTTCATAAGCTTCATTTGGGTTAGAAATTTCTAATTTTTTCTAAACAATTAATTGAAAAATTGAAAATTATAAACTGTTTAAACAAGGGTTAAATAATAAATTTTTAGTTTTTCTTTTATACTTGAATACTTTACTTATGAAAAATTGCACAATTCAGAAAAAATATAAATTTTTAACCCTAAGTACAGTTTATGACAAAATAATAACTTTTTATTGTATAACAATTTTTAACTAAATAATTTTTTATTTTTTATCAATTAAAAATTATTTTAATAGGTTTTTTGATTAATTTTCTTAATTAATAAAACTAAAAAAATATATTTTACGATTTTATGATTTTTTTAATACTTATTGTTATTTAAAAAATGTTTAAAAACAAAAATTCAAAAATAAGGCTCGAGAGATTGATAGAGAATTTAATTACGAAGATTTAGAAAAAAAGAAAAAGCGTTTTGGTAAAGAATTGTGACCTATAGTGTGATTTGAAACGAAACTTGCGCGGCCATAAGTGAATACATGCACAAGTCCCGGCACGCCGCGCTGCACACTTTATTTTTTTCTCGTAAAGTTATTTTTGTCCCATAATTAAATTTACAGGAAGTATTCTTTACTTAATTGACAATATTTACCAAAAAAAATTTTTCAAATCGAAGATATATTTTTTTCAAAATTTGAATTCAAAAAATTTTTTGAAATTTTTTTCGGGCAAAAAAAAATTTTTTATTAAATTTTATTTTTTTTCTTTAAAGTACTTCTTATTATGAGTATTTTCCAAAAAAAATTATCTTAATCGGTTAACAAAAAAAAAAGTTATGTGCATTTTTTGAAAAACCGACCAAAATTTTGAGTAAGAGGTAACTCAAAAAATTTTGAAAATTTTAAAAAAACTTTTATACACTTTTATTCCATGTATAAAAAGGAACAAATTCTGAAAGTATTTTTAATATTGCTAAAATCATCGAAAATTCTTATTCTTATGAAACAAGTAAGCGACTAGTTTTTAATAGTTTCACATAAATCCAAAAACTAGTCCAAAATAACTATAATTAATTTTAAACTGTTTAAAATTTAAAATTCTTTAATAACCTTAAAAAAGTTGAAAATGATTTCAAACAACTTTGAACTGGTTCGAAACAAGTTAAAACAGGTTTAAACAACATTAAACAAGTTCAAAATAGTATTTTAAATGACTTTGAACTAGTTCGAATCAAGTTCAAACTAGTTTTTGTTTGTTCGGAACAAGTTGAATTCAGTTTTAAAAAATTTTTAATGATACAAATAGTTTTAAATTGATTAAATTACAAATTTTTTAAATAAATTTAAACAAGTTTTAATTTAAAATTAAACTAGTTTGAAACTACTTTCATACTAGTTTTAAACTAGTTTCAAGCTAGTATTAAATTAGTTTAATTTAATTAAAACTTCTTTCAAATTTGTTTTGAACTAATTCAAAGTTGTTTAAAATCAGGTGTAACCTATCTTGAACTAGTTTATTATAATTTTGTAAAACTAGTTAAAACTTGTTTTGACCCTGTTTCAAAAATTTTTAAACACTGAATTCAACTGATTCTGGATAAATAAAAACAGTTTTAACTTGTTTCGAATTAGTTCCTAAATTCGTTTGAAACCAGTTTAGACTTGTTTAAATGTATTAAGAAATTTAAAATTTAATTACTTAAAAACTATTTGCATCTCGGAATTTTTTAAAACTGAATTCAACTTGTTCCGAAAAAAAACCAGTTTGAACTTATTTCGAACTAGTTCAAAGTCGTTTAAAGCAACATTTTGAACTTTTTTAAAGTGGTTGAAACCAGTTTTAACTTGTTTCGAACGAGTTCAAAGTTGTTTGAAACCTTTTTAACTCGTTTAAAGTTATCCAAAAAATTTAAATTTTAAACAGTTTAAAACTAATTATAGTTATTTTGAACTAGCTTTTGGATTTGTGTGAAACTATTTAAAACTAGTTGCGTACTTGTTTCATAATAATTTAAACCGTTTTTTTAATTATTTTAAACCAGTTTAAACTAGTTTGAAACTAGTTTAAATCGAGCTTAAAAGAAAGTTTGAAACTACTTTCATACTAGTTTTCAACTAGTTTCAAGCTAGTTTAAAAATACTTTTATACCAGTTTTGAACTACTTTCAAGCTAGTTTGAAACTACTTTAATATTAGTTTTTAAATAGTTTCAAGCTAGTTTGAAATTACTTCCCTACTAGTTTTGAACTAGTTTCAAGCTTCTTTTAAACTACTTTCGTACTAGTTTTGAACTAGTTTCAAGCTAGTTTTAAATCACTTTCATACTATTTTTGAACGAGTTTCAAGCTAGTTTTAAACTAGTTTAATTTAATTAAAAACCGGTTTAAACTTGTCAGGCATAAGTTTTGTGATTTTTTCAAAAACGTATTTGAACTTGTTTCAAAAGTAGTCTATAGTTAAGTTTAAAAAACAGTTTTTACTTGTTCTGAACTAGTCCAAAACCTTTTTTGTAATGAAATTGTGGCATTAATAATAATTAATTAGCAATTCGAGTAGCAATTAATAATTTCTAATCTTTATTTCTTAGGAAACATTATCAAGGGGCTGTTTATTTCGTCGTTTCACAGTTCAAAGAGAGCAACGCTCCTACTCAAGTTTATCACGTTCACAACAAAAAGCTCCCGCTACTTTTGGTTCAAAATCAATTGGAAATACAGGTTCCGTGGCAGTTGCGCAGGTAACGAACTTTTTTTTGTCTCTAGTTCTTTTTTTTATGCCTACTTTCCAATCTATGTTCTGTCGGTAATGTAGAAAAAAGCGCGCCAATTTTTGAATTCAAAAAAAGAAATAATAATTTTTCTTCTTTTTTTTAACAGGAAAGCACAGAATACTCAGGCAATTCAATTCGTGATGAGAGTCTTCGGCGAATTTCATCATTTTCAGGACGTGATGGTAAATATTCAATTCACTCCAATGACAAGCATTTGAAAAAAGAAAAGAAACAGGATAGAATGAAAATGGAAACAAGTCAATCGTATCCACTAGATGGAAAATTAAATTTATTGTCAATTTCAGACAATGAAACGTGTAAGAATTATGATAATCAAAGATGGCAGGAAAATATTATGGTACGTGAGAAAATGTTACCTAAAGAAATTCCAAAGAAATTAAAATCAACAACAACAACAACAACAACATCAGTTAAAGTGGCGCGTGATACAACGAAAAAATGGTGGAAATTATTGAATTGGTTACCGGGTTTTAAATCATTTCGTGTTCAACAACAATTACCATATGGACAAACTGGAATCAGTGACAATATCGTTCTCGAAAGTAATCAACTTAATGAATTTTCCATTAATTTAAAAACAATCAAGGAAAATGAAAATAATCTTCGACTGGTGTAGAAAAAAAACAATAGTTTCATCTACTTATAAATTTATAATAATGTAATTATAAACAATAATTTTGTGAATTCGTTTTTTGCAAAGTTGCGGAAAATAATATTTTTTCAAGGGAAAAAAAAATTTGATGCAAATCACTAGAGGTTAATAATTTTGTTTTTCAAAATTCTAAATCATGTTTCAAGAAAAAATGGTCAATTTTTGGCGAAAAAGAAATTTAGGAAAAAATTTGTTTTTGGCTCAGGGGAAAAGTCGTCAATAAAGCAAATCGACAGGGGGTTCGAATCCAGTCGGATCCATACAATAAAAATAAGATTTTTTTTTCAAATTTTAATAAAATTTACAATCAGAAGAATATAAAAACATATGTTAATCATAAAATAAAATATTTTTGAATGATTAATTTTTGTAAAATTTCCAATAATCGTATAAATTTAATGTAACTTACATAATGACCTTTGACATTAAATAAAGAGAGGTCACTATTTGATTATTAATAAGAGCTACTTGACATTTTTTAAATTACGAAACGAATAAAACGATTTTCTAAATTAAATTTACTTTTAGTTTAATAAAGTTAAAGTTCAGTTATTTTTAAATAAATTGAAAAAAATGTGTAATTTCATTAAATTTTAGAAGTTAAATTTACAAAAGAATAGTTTAGAAAAAAAAATTGACACATTTTTTAATTACTTTATCACTATTTGTCTCGTTAAACTTTTAAATCGCGTTTAATGAAAAAATTCAAAAGAAAAAATTTCCAAAATAACAATAATTTTGGTGGAAAAAGAAAATTAGGAATTTTTTTTTCATTTGTACTAAATAGCTTAGGGGAAAAGTCGACTAACGCCCAAGTCGCTGACGCAAATGAACGGGGGTTCGAATCCTGTTGGATATATAATAGAAATTACATTTAACTTTGTTAAAAAAAATTTTTAACGAAAAATAAATAAAATTAACAAAAAATAAATTAAATTAATGAAAAATAAATAAAATTAATTAAAAATTAATTTAGAAAAATAAAAAGTTAATTAACTTTTGAAAATTAAATTTAAAAAATACTAAACAAATATTTATTATTATTATTGTATATATAGAATAATAAGGAATAAAATAGTAATTAAAATATCCAAATGGAAATAAAAATGAGGGAAAAAAATTTTCAAAATGTTCAATTAAGATTGAAAAAAATCCAAGCGAATTGGAGCTTGTAAATTGAAAACGATTGACCTCTTCATTTATTTGTTCATTTACAAATTTTAGGTTCGCTCTGAAATCAATCTAAAAGTACTGACAAAGAATTGTAAATAAATTGCTTTCGAAGTAAACATTGTGTATGTGTGAGTGTGTAATAATTTTTGAAAAAAATTTTCTTAATCACATAAATTGAAAAATAAAAGAAAAAAAAATAAGAATAACATGTGACACATTACAGAATTACCAAATTAAAATCAAAGGAAAAAAATTATTTCACTATATTATATTTAAATACTTTTTTTCTAATTTTTTTTTCACTGAATTTAATTTATTTTTTTTTTTTTAATTAATATATTTTTGAAAACAAAAGTACAATTATTTTAAATATTATTTTTCAAAAAGAAAAAAAACTTGTGAGTGCGCGCGCAGTGCAGAAAAAATGAGAGTAGGGAGAAGCGTTTTCTGATTCGCTCTCTCACGTTATCCCTACTTCTTTTAATGCTGCGCGCGCAGCATTAAAAAATTTAATTTTTTTTCCTTCGAGCAGCAAAAAAAAAATTTCTGGTTTTTATATACAAAAAATATTTATATTAAATGAATGAATAATATTTTATAAATAAATAAGTCTCTAAAGAAATAAAATAAAAATTAAATAAATTAATTAAATTGATTATAAATAACAAAAATAAATTGTCAATGCCGGAATAATGTGTCACTTGTAATAACTTAATTAGTTAATTATTATTAATTAAACAATTAATTAATAATTAATTAAATAAATAAGCAATTAGTTATTAATTAATTAATCAATTAATAAAAATAATGTAAAGGAAAATGTGTTTCAATAAAAATAAATAATTATCGTCAACGAAAAATGTTAGTGAAAAAATTAAATTTTCTAAGCACAATATTACTGTAAAAAATATCTTCAAATAAAACATTACAAAAAATTGGAAAATTTATCTTAATAAGAGAAAAAAAAAGCAGGGGGAAAATTGATTATTCACTCAGATTCAACAAAAAATAGTCAAATAATTAAGAAACTTGTGTAATTAAATATATATATAAAACGAAGTTACTATATTCCTTTTATACAAATTTATTCGTTCGTTTTTAATCGAACTAATAAGTTCTCTTTTTTACAATTAAAATATTAATTTCAAGGTTTTTTTTTTATTTTTATTATTCTACTTTTTTGTGATAAAATATTTTTTAATTGACTTTTATATTGAGTTTATATATAATATCAATTATTCAAATTATTTATAAATATTAGTATTATATTTAATGTGTTAATTAAGACAGTGATTAAAATAATGTACATGAAAAACTGAACTTTTGACTGAAGGCTGTGTTTCAATAAAGTATGTTATAATAAAATTGTTTTTAAAAATTTTTCACCTGCATATTATTTTTATACCTAAATATAATATTTATAAGAATATTAATTTAAAAATTATTAATTTTTGAAATATTAATTTTTTAAACATTTAAAAAATATTAATTTTTAAAATATTAATTTAAAAAAACAGTAGTTTATCAAATAGTTTAATCAGAAATTATTTGTAAATCAGTAAAAAAAACTGCTTTCTAACTAGTTCGGATCAGTTCAAACTTGTTAAAAAATTTAAAGAAAACAGCCAGTTGTAACTTATTCTGAACTAGTTTAGAATCATCGAAGGAATATTTTCAACTCTAAAAAAAATATTTAAGTTTATAAGAACTAATTTTAACTTGTCCCAAACTTGTTCAAATTAGTTTGAACCTAAATAAACAAATTGAAACTTGCTCCGAACTAGTTCAAAACAGTTTAAAATTGTTTAATATTAATTAAATTTTATAAACATCAGATTCAACTTGTCTTGAACTGTTTCCAAATTGTTTGAACTTATTTAGAATCGGATTTAATAAAAACAGTTTAAATTTGTCCCTAACTAGTTACAAACAGTTTAAATTTATTATTTTTATTTTTTTGTTTTATTTTTTAAAAACCAAATTTAACTTGTTCCGAACTAGTTCAACTTCGTCGGTACCAAAACAAGTTCTCGTTTTTTTAAATTTATTTTTAAATATGTTTAAACTAATTTAGTTCTAATCTAGTTCGGAACAAGTTCGGACATACAGTTCAAACTTATTATTTAAATACTTAATTTTATAATAACCAATTTTAACTTGTCCCAAACTAGTTCAAAATGGTTTGAAATTGTTTTTGAATTCTATTTAATAAAAACTGCTTATAACTTGTTTCGAACTAGTTCAAAATAGTTTAAATTTTCTTAAAATTCAATTTAAAAGAAAACCGGTTATAAATTGTCCTCAATTAGTTCAGAGTAGTTCTAACCTGTTCAACAAATTTTTTAAGAGTTATAATTTGTTTCAAACTAGTTTAAATTTGTTTGAACTTTAAAATAAAAATTGATTTTCACTATTAAAAGAAAATTAGTATGAACTTATTTGGAACTAGATTGAAATTATTTGAAATTAATGTTTTTACCTTATTTTAGGGTAATTCTATCAAAAACAATGTTTAGTGTAAAAAAGTTCAATATTAGAAACAAAAAATTAAAAAATTTAATGTTTTTTTTTGTTAAGAAATAATTTTTTTAAAATAGTTTATAATTACTTGATTTTTAATAGCAGAGAGAAATAAATTGCAGAAAAAAGTAAATTGCAGAATATCTTGTTATAAAGTAAACGAAAAAAAAAAATTGAGAAAAAAGTGGTTGACAATGAAATTGTCATAAACGTTTCTGATAATCGTTAAATGAAAAAAAAAAAAATAAATTCAATTTTAATAGAAATAAAACGAGACTATATAATTTTCTAAAATTATCAATTGACTTTTAATAATTATTTTTGTTTTTATTTTTTGCGATTAATCATAGGTGGATAATAAAAATAGCATATTTTACTTCTTTGTTTCTAAATTTATAGGAAAAGTTAATTTAATATATATTTTCATTTTCGCGCTACTATTTTAAGATATTCTCTATTAATAAAGAGGCAAATATTAAAATATTTGTCACAATATTTTGACAGTTGGAAAGATATGGAGAAATTTATATACAAAGAGTTTATTTTTAACCGAATCGTTCAAAAGTTAAATTCCAGATGGAAATTTTTGATGTATTTTTCATGATTAAATCGACATTAAACCCTAAAATAAAAGAAAAGAAATATTTAAGGGAATTTAAATTTAATTTGTAATTTTTAAAAACTTTATCATTTATTTTATTTTCTTAAGTCAATATTATTAAAAAAAATTTCTTTTTTATTATTTATTAAATTTATTAATTTGAAATTTATTAATTACTTTAGAATTCATTAACAATTAAACTATTTATTTATATTTAAAAACATAAATTTACTTATTATAAAAATTAAATATAATTATAGACTAAATAAATAAATAGAAATTCTAAAAATGGTATAATAAAATACAAAAATTTAATAAATTACATAATTTTCTTTCGGATGAATTTAAAAATTACTTTATAGTTTATACCTACAAAAAAAATAAATAAAACTAATTTAATCTCATTATAGTCTCATTAAGGTTTAAATACCTTCAATTTACACATTAACTATTGTTACATAAGAATTTAATCGAAAATTGTTTCCCGAGATTTTTTTATAAACTCCTATTAAAAAATTACTACATTCATTCATTCAAAAAAATTCAGAGAAAAATGAAAAAAAGCGATAACAACCAAAAAAAATTCCAGACATTTTAAAATTTAAATTAACTCATAAATAAATATTTATTTACTCGAAATCATTTTAAACAAAAAGAAAAGAAGCGATTAAATATGATGCAATCATAAAATTTAGTTTACATTAATAAAAAGACATAAAAATAAGTATATAGTTTTAAAAATGTTTTATTTAAAATTATTTTCAATTCAACAAATAAATTAAAACATTATTTTTGTGTATTTTTCATTGACATAAATATTATTGTGTGGTAACAATATTCCTTTTTCTTTGTACTAACAAGAGTTATTTATAATAATTATAAAATAATTTTACAATAATTTATGATAAATATTATAATAATTTTAAAAAGGAAATTCTTGAATTTAATTACTGACAATTGCCTGAAACAAAACAGAACGAAAAAAAACTAGTTTGAAACTAGAATGAACTGGTTTTAAACATGTTTCGTATTAGGTAAAAATCAATTTGAACTTGTTTTGAACACGTTAGGAATTTTCACAATTGTCTGTAAGAATAACAAAATGTAACTAAATCCAAAAATAGGAAACCAGTTCAAACTTGTTTCAAACCAGTTTCAAAATTCAATAAAAAAGAATCAGTATTGTTTTGAAAACGTTAGACAATTTTTAAATTGTTACCTATTAGTTCTTAGAAATGAAAAACTAAATTAAACTTGTTACACATTTTTTTTTTGATTATTTTGAAGAAAATTTAGTTCAAAGTAAAAAAGTTTCAAATTATTTTGAACAGGTTGCGAACTAGTTATGAATCAAATGTAAAAAACCTGGAATGTACTTATTTTAAATTAGTTTCAAATTCAATTGAGAAAAATCATTTTCAACTTGTTTTGAACACGTTAGGAATTTTCATAATTGTTTTAAACTAGTTCCAAAAAATGTTAAACTAGTTAAAACTTGTTTAAAGTTTTCAAAACTTTTTAAAACTTGTTAAAAATTGGTCAAACTAGTTCAAACTGGTTCTACTGGTTCTAAATTATTATTTACTAGTTCGTAATAAAATTAAAATAACCAAAATAAACTTGTTTTGAAACAGTTTCAAATTCAATAACAAAATTAGTTCAAATTATTTTCAACTTGTTTCGGACTAGTTGTGAAGCAAATAGAAAAAACAGTAATGTACTTATTTTGAACTAGTTTCAAATTTAATTAAAAAAAACAAGTTTGTAACTTGTTTTGAACACGTAAGGAATTTTTATAATTGTTTTAAACTATTTCCAAAAAATATAAAAGTAGTTCATACTTGTTGAAACTAGTTCAAAATTATTTAAACTTGGTTAAAATTGTTACAAACTAGTTCAAACTTGTTACCAACTAGTTCAAATTTGTTACAAACTAGTCAAAACTGATTTAAACTTGTTAAAAACTAGTTCAAAATTGTTTAAACTTTTTGCATACTAGTCCAAACTGATTTAAACTTGTTACAAACTAGTTCAAACTAGTTCTAATTATTTTAAACTAGTTAGAAACTAGTTTGTAATTAAATTAAAATAACCACAATAAATTTGTTTTGAAACTGTTTCTATTTCAATAAAAAAGAACAGTTAAAACTTGTTACAAACTAGTTCAAAGTAGTTTTAAATTATTTTTGAACCAGTTCGAAACTAGTTCGTAATTAAATGAAGAAAAACTAGAATAAACTTGTTTTAATACAGTTTATAATTCAATAAAAAAAAACTGTTTGAACTTGTTTTGAACACGTTAGAATTTTTTTATAATTATACTAAACTAGTTCAAAGTTGTGTAAAATGAATTTGAACGAATAAAACGAGAATAAACTTGTTTTGAACTGGTTTTTAATTTGAATGAAAATTTATTTGAATTTTTTTTAAATTGTTTTTTAAACTAGTTTCAAATTCCGTAAAATTATGGTTTAAACTTGTTTAACTATTTTGGATTCTTGTAAAACTATTTTCGGTTTTTTTAATCTTTAAAACCAGTTTAGAACAATTTAAAACCATTTTTAACGGCAATTTGTCTTTGAATCATTCGAAACTACTTCCCAACTAGTTATTGAGAATACATTTTATAATTATTACTTTCATATATATTATTTTCGAAGTTGAAATTTTACATAATCTTTTAGAATTTATGTTTTTGAGATACAATCTTCATTTTTTCTTAATCTAATTTTTGTCGATTTATAATTATTTTTGTTGAGATCTATATTTGTTTTTGTTTGGTTAAAAAAAATTGCTCTTTTTTAAAACGCTGTTTTTTTCTTTTTAATTTCAAAAGTACAAGAAAATTTTTCTTTTTTCTAACAGATAAAAATATGTTTGTTCTAACTGTCGTTTAAGATTCATTTAGAATTTTCTAATTATTGCCACTTTTTTTTAAATATTAAATTTTCTATGGAAAAACATTTTGCTATCGCCTCTGAAGTTGAAAATAATAATAATAATAATAATAATATTAATAATAATTTAACAATATTATTAAATACATGTAAAATATTAATAGTGAATTAAATAGATGATTAATATAATAGTGAACAACGCAGTGAGTTTTAAATAATATATATATATCATCGTATTAACATATTGTGATTCATTTTTACAATAGTTTCTATTATTTTTTTTTTAATTTTATTATATAATTTTTTAATAATAAAAACATAATCTCAAATATTAAATTTGACACTTAAAAATTTTCAAGTGCTGGAATGTATATTGTTTATATTATAGAGAGAGATATGACACAATAAAATAAACATAATTTAATAAGTTAATTATAGGAAAATTGTACTTTTAGAATTTGTATAAATACAGTCGTTTATGGCATTCCTTCGAGACACTCTTTGATGTGCTGCCAAGACTGAAGACTCTAAAAATAAACGAATTAACTTTCATTAGTAATAAATAAGTTTAAAATTAAAAAAAGTTATCTCTTAATTAAAGCTTGTTCAACATAGATCACAATTATTATCGTTAAAAAAACAAAATTACCAACTTTTTAGAACTTTAAAAACAGTTAAAACTATTCCTACTAGTATAGAGGAAGAAACATATGCAATTACAGTAAATAAAAAAAAATTTTCTCTCCTTTAAAATCATCCTTTATTGCTTATAAACAGAAGTGTGGGTAGAACTGTTAGATGTTAATAAAAAAATTGATTAATGATTTTTCTTTCACTTTTAAACTACTGGAATATTTCTTACCGAACTAGAGAAAAAAATTTATGTACATAGAATTATTTTTAAAAGAATTCTGATCATTAAAATCATCATTCTCTATGTAAAAACAAAAACCAATGATGAATCAATGATAATCGTTAATAAAAAAAAATTGATTAATGATTTTTCTTCCTCTCTTAAACAACTGAAATTTTCCCTACAAGTCTAAAGGAAAAAATTTATGCACTTAGAATAATTTTTCAAAAATATTCTGATTGTTAAAATCGTCATTTTCTATGTACAAACAAAAGCCTATGTAGAACTGTTAAAAATTGTTAATTAAAAAATTGTTTAATGACTTTTCTTCATCTCTTATAATGTCAATTTACATTCTCCTAATCTAGAAGAGGATATTTATGCATTTGCCAACATTTAAAATAATTTTCTGATCATTAAAATCGTCCTATTCTGTCTAGAACCAGATGCGTGGGTGTAACTGCAGATAAATGTTAATAAAAAAATTGATTAATGTTTTTTCTTTTCCTTTTAAATTACTGGTATTCTTCCTACTGATCTAGAAGAAGGAAATTTATATCCTTTTCTATGTACAAATAAAAGCCAATTAGGAATTGATAATAATTGTTAATTAAAAAACTAATTAACTATTTTTCTTCACATTATATAATATTTACTTTTATTTTACTACTTCAGAGTAAAAAATTTATCCCTTTGCCATCAATTAAAAAAAATACTGTGTTCATTAAAATCATCATTTTCTATTGACAATTAAAAGCTTAGATAGAATTTGTTAATAATTGATGATTAAAAAATTGTTTATTACTTTAATTTTTACTAATAATTATTAGAATTTCTTCTACTATAGTTTAAAAAAGTAAACTGAAGACTATTTCATCAATTAAAAAAATTCTCTGCTCATTAAAATCATAATTTTCTCTGCGTGAACAAATACTTATGTTGAAGTTGATTATAAATAATTAAAAAATTTTTAACAACTTTTTTTTTCTTTTTAAAACTAATAATATTTTTCCCATCATACTAAAGAAAGAAATTTATGCATTTTTTATCAATTTAAAAAATTCGCTGTTCATGAAAATGGTTATTTCTTATGATTAAACAAAAGCGTAGGAAAAATACGATAATTATTGTTAATTAAAATCTTGTTTTCGACTTCTGCTTTTTTAAAAAATTATTGGTATTATTTTTACTGGTCTAGTTAAAATCGGCATTTTCTTTGTATAAACAAAAACACTAAGTAGGAGTCGGTAATAATTGTTTATTAAAAAACGATTAATTATTTTATATTTTCCTAAAATTTATTGTTATTTCTTCTACTTGTCTAGGGGAAGGAATTAATACATTATTAATGAATTAAAAAATTCTGTGTTAATGAAAATCGTCATTTACTATTAATACAAAAATGCTTAGGTTGAAGTTAATTATAATTGTTTAATAAAAATTGGTTTCTGTTTTTAATTTTTCCTAAAAGCTGTTGTCACGTATTCTACTAGTCTAGGGGGAGAAATTTATGCATTTGCCATGGATTAAAAAAATTATCTGTTCGAGAAAATCGTCATTTTCTTTGTATAAACAAAAACCGAGGTAGAAGTCGGTAATAACAGTTTATTAAAAAATGATTATTTATTTTATATTTTCCTAAAATATAATGTTATTTCTTTTACTTGTCAAGGGGAAGGAATTGATACATTTTTAATGAATTAAAAAAATTCTCTATTTATTAAAATCGTCATTTACTATTATTATAAAATTGCTTAGGTTGAAGTTGATAATAATTGTTTAATAAAAATTGGTTTCTGGTTTTAATTTTTCCTAAAAACTGTTGACACGTGTTCTACTAGTCTAGGGGAAGATATTTATGCGTTTGCCATCGATTAAAAAAATTATCTGTTCGTGAAAATCGTCATTTTCTATGTACAAACAAAAGCCTATGTAGAACAGATAAAAATTGTTAATTAAAAAATGGTTTAATGACTTTTCTTCATTTCTTATAATGACAATTTACATTCTCCTAATCTAAAAGAGGATATTTATGCATTTGCCAACATTTAAAAAAATTTTTTGATCATTAAAATCGTCCTATTCTGTCTAGAACCAGATGCGTGGGTGGAAGTGAAGATAAATGTTAATAAAAAAATTGATTAATGATTTTTTTTTCCTTTTAAACTACTGGTATTCCTCCTACTGATCTATAAGAAGAAATTTATATACTTAACATTATTTAAAAAAATATTCTGATCATTAAAATCGTCCTTTTCTATGGACAAATAAAAGCCAATTATGAATTGATAATGATTGTTAATTAAAAAACTAATTAACTATTTTTCTTCACATTATATAATATTTACTTTTGTTTTACTACTTCAGAGTAAAAAATTTATCCCTTTGCCATCAATTAAAAAAAATACTGTGTTCATTAAAATCATCATTTTCTATTCACAATTAAAAGCTTAGATAGAATTTGTTAATAATTGTTAATTAAAAAATTTTTTATTACTTTAATTTTTACTAATAATTATTAGAATTTCTTCTACTATAGTTTAGAAAAGTAAACTGAAGACTATTTCATCAATTAAAAAAATTCTCTGCTCATTAAAATCATAATTTTCTCTGCGTGAACAAATACTTATGTTGAAGTTGATTATAAATAATTAAAAAATTTTTAACAACTTTTTTTTTCTTTTTAAAACTAATAATATTTTTCCCATCATACTAAAGAAAGAAATTTATGCATTTTTTATCAATTTAAAAAATTCGCTGTTCATGAAAATGGTTATTTCTTATGATTAAACAAAAGCGTAGGAAAAATACGATAATTATTGTTAATTAAAATCTTGTTTTCGACTTCTGCTTTTTTAAAAAATTATTGGTATTATTTTTACTGGTCTAGTTAAAATCGGCATTTTCTTTGTATAAACAAAAACACTAAGTAGGAGTCGGTAATAATTGTTTATTAAAAAACGATTAATTATTTTATATTTTCCTAAAATTTATTGTTATTTCTTCTACTTGTCTAGGGGAAGGAATTAATACATTATTAATGAATTAAAAAATTCTGTGTTAATGAAAATCGTCATTTACTATTAATACAAAAATGCTTAGGTTGAAGTTAATTATAATTGTTTAATAAAAATTGGTTTCTGTTTTTAATTTTTCCTAAAAGCTGTTGTCACGTATTCTACTAGTCTAGGGGGAGAAATTTATGCATTTGCAATTAGTTAAAAAGTTTTTCCTTAACTCAAATCGTTATTTACTATTTTTAGTAATAGCCATCGAAAATTGCGAATGAAAAATTGGTTAACAAATAAAGCTTATAATTAAATAAAATTCCTACCTTTCTGGCCAGTTTAAATTGTAGAACACAGTAGGCTGCTAAAGTTTCCTTTAAGTCAATAACTTTTTGTTGTTGAAATCTTTCAATGTCTTCTAAAGCCTTATTCGAAAACGATCTGTAATTTGAAATATAATGTGGAGTAAAATTAAATTTTTTGAAATTTGAATAAAAAGAGAAATACAAATTAAAATACAAATAGAAATAAAAATAAACAAATTATAAATTGGTATTTAGAAAATTTGCAATTACATCAAATTTTCATCAGCTTTCTTCACTGCTTCTTCGTTTTGCGTGATCCTTTGATCCAATTGAACAACTTTTAACTCCCTGACGTCTTCCGTATCAACTGAGCCAAAAAGCCGTGACATAAGACTCGATTTGCCTTGAATTGCTTTATTTTTCTGATCATAACTCGCATGTAAAACATCGTGAGTCTCATCGGTCGCTAATTGCATAGCTTCCCTTCGACGCACAACTTGTTGCAAAGCAGAAGCACTAAAAAGCCATTCTTTCAATTGATCCGCAATCAGTTCCTCTTCCTCGAGTGTCGTGTCAATCGTCGCTGCTAACGAATCCAAATAGTGACCCGATTTCTAAAAAGAAAAAAAATTATTAAAAAAAATCGTTAAAAAACGCAGAAACATAATTCAGAGAGTCGCCACCAGGTGTGCGATGCGTCGCTTTTATTAATATAATGATCGACCATCTCATTAGTCACTAGTTAGTGGTCAACGTACAAAGGAAACAGTATAGACAGTAAGCCAAAAAGTCATTTAGAAAAAAAAGAGAGTAAGTGCAATGAAGTCAATCATAAGTTCGTAAACTGTAAAAAAAGCCCAAATTGCTTCTTATGCAAAGAAAATTTAGTCCAAAACAAAAGTTTTCTAATCAGCTTTTAAAGAAAGCAAAAAAGAAAACTTGTGGACGAACAAGAAAAATCAGAAAGATCGTTGCAAAGGAATTGTCACGTAAATAATTATAGATCCCAGGGATTTTCTCCTACGAAGTTTAAAATTCAACAATAGTTTCTTATAAATTATTTGTCTAAGGAAAATTGTCTAGTAAAAAGAAATCTTTTAGTTTAGATCGAAAATAAAGAATTCTCTCCCCAAGATAACCTAAAATAAGCCCTCTATCAGCAGATTTTTACGCACTGCAAAAAATAGTATTCACCGTCGGTAAAGTAGATTAAAAACCGCGAAAATTCAAATTAAGAAAAACAAAGTTCTTGAAAATATAGCAAAAGTAATTTTTCTATTTAATTATTTTCGTTGCTTACCTGTAGTCCGTCACCCATTTCCTTTTCAATCGCGCTCCATTCGCTGAATACTCGTCCATAATTGGCGTGTAATTTATACAAACTGTATTGTTTTTCGGCTAATCTTGAACGAACTCGTAGTAAATTACACACGTTATTCTAAAATAACATTTAACATAAATTTTTTTTCTTCTAAAAATTATTTTTTTTAGTCGAAATATTATTTTCTTATTTTAACAAAATTATTTTTTTATTCAAATTATTTTTTTATTCTAAAAGTTAGTTTTTTTTTTGTTCTAAAATTTTTTTTTTATTTTTATAATTAATTAATTTTAAGTACGGTAATTTTTAGAATATTACCTGCAATTCTATTCCATAATTTTTTATCGTCTCGAAACGTTTATCGGGTTTTCTCAATCTAACTGCCACACTCAGTGCTTTTAATTTGGTCTCGGCTAATTGTAAATAACCTGTATAATTAATATTAGTTTAAAAAACCTTTTTTTCGTTTAGTTAATTAATTTATTATTTTATTTTCATTAAATCATTAAATTAAATTTAAAAAATATTTTTGTTACCCACCTGTTTCTTTAACACTTTCCCTCCAACCATCTTTTTGTTGAAGAAAACTAATTAAATGTTTGTCAAAGGACAAAATTGGATGCGACGCTACCCTCAATAAAAAATTCTAGAAAGTAAAAATTAATTATTTAAAAATTGTAAAAAATTTAGTTATTTATCTTTTCTATTTTTTGTTCCTTTATTTTTTTTTCTTAGATAATTTTTATTTTAACTAGACATTTTTTTTTTTTTTTTTTCATGAATGTTACCTCAAGACCAGCTCGTCGACGATCAACAAAATCGGGATCAAATGTATCGGTTGTTACTTTTTGCCAAGCGTAGAGAACTTTCTTTTCAGGTAAAGGTGGCAGCACCACATAGGGATAGGATATTTCTAAGTAAGCTCGTAGTAATTCAAATTCCGTGTATCGACGCCACAAGGAACTCACTTTTATTGGGGCGTTTTCGAAATTCGGATCCGTTACTCTAATTTTTTATTTAACAAAACAAATTTTTATTAATAAAGAATAACGATACTTAAAAAAAAATTTTGGAAAAAATATACATTTGATAATAAAAGAAAAAAAAGTTTTTCAGTTAATTGACAAAAAAATTAAAAAATATAAATTTCATTATAAAAATAATAAAAATAATATAATACCTTCTCATGTGACGAAAATGTAAAAAATATAAAAAACAATACTAATAATAATTATAAAATGATAATAATAATAATAATAATAATAATAATAATAATAATTATTATTATTATTATTATTATTATTATTATTATTATTATTATTATTATTATTATTATTATTATTATTATTATTATTATAAATACTAAATAAAATAAAATCAAAATTTTACTAAACTAAAAAAATTTATTAATTTAATTTTCTTTTAAATTTAAACGAAATAAAGAAACCTTTTTTTTTAAATATTCAACTCACTTTGTCTCAATGAGGTAGACAGTGTAAAATTCTTTTAAATTGAGCGCTCCATTTGCTCGTTTTTCAGCTTCAACAATAGAAATTTCCATATGATCCAGAAGACAATCCTAAAATAAAAAGGAATAATTACAAAAAAACTTTTTTTTGCAAAAACTAAATACATAAATTATTATTAACAACAATTTATAAACTTGAAAAAAAGAACCAGTTTTGCCACGACTACTATATCAACGAATTGCAAAACTGGTTTATTTACTTATACAAAATAGAAAGTTTCACAATTTTCTTGTTTTAGAAATTATTTTCTTGAATATATTTTTGAAATAAACAATTTTTGGTAAAGTGATTTTTAAACATTTCTATCTATTTATTATTTTTATGTTTTAATAAAAAAAAAGAAAAATTAAGAAAATAAATGAAAATAATAATAATATAATAATAATAATAATAATAATAATAATAAAAATAATAAAAAAAATATAATATAATAATAATAATAAAAATATAAATAAATATATATAAATATGTAATAATAATAAAAATAATAATAATATAATTATTATTAACAATAATAAATATTAATAATTTTATTTGAGAACCGTTTTTTTAATAATATTGATAATAGTATTTAGAGGCCTTTTACGGTTTACCGTTTAGGTTTTTTAATTTTTTTTTACCTTTTCACCATAACGTTCACCATGATTTTCATTACGATGGCTTTTACCATGAACTTTCTTACCATCATGGTTTTCACAAAATTTTTAAAATTTAATCTTTTATTATATGATTATTGATGTGATCAAACACAAGGTGAGTTTTTTCTCCTTTAAATTGTTTTTCAAATTAATTTTCTTTTTGGTGACAATTAATATCTTCCCGTGTGGAAAAGTGAGGTGGGCCCACGGTGGGTCCCAGGTGGGCTTCCCAGGTTCTAGGTGGGTCCCAGCAGGGATGGCCCAGGTGGGCGATTCCTTGGCTTGTAACGGTGAATCCAGCCACAGCCCACCTAGGAAAAATCCAGCTGGGGCTCATAGATTTAGTTTTCATTCAAATTAATGAATAAATTGTTTATTAATAACAAATAAGTCGAATTATAAATAAATAACGTTATTATTTAACGATTTTTACTTTTTTTAATGAAATTGTGACCAAAAGCAAATTCATAAATAATGTTAGCATATATATGGGAATTAATATATATCCTTTCATTTATAAATTAAAAATTTATAAAAAAATTAGAAATTTGTTAATTAAATTATTAAACGGTATATATAATCACTAAATGGCATACTTATACGAATACAATGCAGAAAAATCGGAATAAACGCAAACCTAAGAAACAAATAAAATTTAACGCACGCGGGGATTGAACCTACGACCTACGGACTACTAGACTAACGCCCTAACCACTATACTACGGAGACTAACTACTGAACACCGACGTTTTATTGTCAGTGACTTGTTGATCTGCTGAAATGATTTAATAAAGCACTTACTGACACGAATACACCGTAACAAATAAATAGTTTAATAATAATAATAACAATATTATTAATGTAATAATAAACGATAAATATTCTTAAAATAATATTTATATTATTATGAAAAAAATATATCAATACATTTTTATTAAAAATGTGTTTTTTATTGTTTACAATCATTATAAACATTAATTTGTTGGTCTAAAAAAAAAAATTTTTTTTAGTTGTTTGGACTTAGAAATTTTTACTAATTAATTATGTGGACATTACATAAAAAAAATATTGTGAATACATTTTTGTTAAAAACACGTTTTTTCTTAATCTAAGTCATTATAAACATTAATTTTTTGTTGAAAAAAAAATTTTTAGGTTTGGACTTAGAAATTTTTGCTTATATAATTATTGATGTGGGTCCTCAAAAACTGGGAAGCCCAGGTAGGGCCCAGCTCACGCCCACTTATAATATTATTTCGCCTGACCGGAACCCACCGTGAGTGGGTCAATAGACAAACTCTAAAATGCTTCCGTAAAATGTTAACATGTTTGTCAATTGTCAATTCATGTACGAAGATGACCATAATTACATCAAAGTTTTATTATTAAATATTAAAGAAAAACTAAACTATTTAATAATTTTCACTCTAAACGATTTTTGTTATTATATATAATAAATTTTACTAATGTTATATTGCAGTCGTTATTGTTTAAATAAATAATTGTTGTTAATTAGTAACTCCTGACACTAGCTTCCAGAAAGATGCAGTTTTTTTCTAATGTTGCGATTAACTAATTCGAACCACATGAAATAAAAATAATTTAAGGTTTTAACAATTCAAAAATTGTTTAAACAAATGATTGTTGTTATTTACTAATTTTTGACACAAAGCACCTAAAAAATGCAGTTTCTTTTTAATTTTACATTTAACTAATCTGAAAAGTATGAAATAACAGTATTTTATGATTTAAACAGTTCAGAAATTGTTTAAACAAATAATTGTTATTATTTATTAACTTTTGATACAAACAATCCAGAAACTTGCAGTTTCTTTCTAATTTTACAATTACTACTACTCTGATTAACTAATTGCAAAATAAGAAAAAAACTTCATTTTTCTAGATGCTATGTGTCAAGAGATAGTAAATAACAACAATTATTTGTTTAAACATTTGATAAATTGTTAAAATTAAAATCATAAAACATCCGAATGATTTACTATTTACATTAGTTAATTGCAAAATTAGGAAAAAACTGCAAGTTTTTAAGTTATGTGTATCAAAAGTTAATAAAGAACAACAATAATTTGTTTAAACAATTTCTGAATTGTTAAAACCATAAATTGTCTTTATTTTATGTCGTTCGTATTACTTAATTGCAAAATTAGGAAAAAAATTGCAAGTTTCTAAGTTATGTGTATCAAAAGTTAATAAATAACAACAATCATTTGTTTAAACAATTATTAAAATGTATTAAAAACCGTTATACCTTGATGAGTTAATTATTAAATAAATAAATAAATTCAGCTGGAACAACTTTAAAATTTCGGTAAAACTAAATGTCTGTTAGTGTAGTACAATAAAAGTTTATAATTATTGACAATAATAAATTGTTTAAAATAATAATGATTATTATTATTATGAATTAATTGTAGAATGATTTATTGTGAATAGTTATATTTAATTTTCAGACTTTTTCTATTATAATGTTAATATTTTTATGAAAATGGGAAGCCCAGGTGGGGCCCAGGTGGGGCCCAGCTGGCTCCCAGTTTTTAACTGGGCTAACTTGGGCAGATTTCCACACGGGTTATAATAATTTTCATTACAGATGTGATTTTGATTTGCTTATGTTCATTTTAAGATTAAAATTATTATTATTATTAAAAAATTGCCTGATGAGGACTTAATCAAAGTCGAAACTTGTAGCAATTTATACAATTTTTGTAATAAACGAACATCAGTCTTTAACCGTAAAAGGCCTCTAAATACTATTATCAATAATAAATATTGTTTTGAATTGTTTAAAATTAAGTTTCTCATTTAAAAAATAGTAATTTTTAGAACTAAAACTTTATTAATAGAAAAATGAACTTAATTATTAAAATTTTTAAAAAAAATATCATGGAAAAATAATTTTTTTCACCTGTAGAGAGTAAATGAAAATTTTATTTTTTTTAAAAATATTGATAGTTTTTTTTGTTTTCAAAACAAAATTTATTATCATTATATGATAGAGAATATGATGACGTTGATAAGAAAAGAAGAATAATGGTGACATAAATAAATATATATGTATATATTTGTGTGTGTGGTTATGTATATCGTATCACATGATGTTTCTACATTTATTGGGATCATCAAAACATATAATATAACAAAACTTTATTATTTGTTTATCATAAAAAAAACATTAACAAATAATTAATTGAAGTTTGTTTTATCGATTTATTTTATGCACTCACGATGTATGTGTATATAAATATACATATATATGTATATATAAATATAAATAAATGTATATGTATCTATATGTATTTGTGTACAATTTTTAATAACACACATTGAAACACACCTCTTTTACCATTTTTATGGTACTGATATTGTCATTTGTTATTTTTTCTGTATTTCCATTTCGAAAAATTTCCTCCATATTTTTTTTAAATAATAAAATTTATTTAAATTTAAATTTAATAACTTTTTGTTTATCAATCCTAAAAATTTTAAACTACAAAAAAAGTGTGATAAATTAAAAAAATTTTCGCCTTAAAAAAATATATATATGTGTATATTATATATTTCACGTCATCGCGTTTCTATTTGGATTCTAACAGATGTGAACAGAACACTCGTCCGAATCGAACTGTTGTCACTAAATTGGTCACCAGTTGCAGTTTCAGCAGTCGTACCAATTTTTCATTAAAATTCCCCATGTTAAAAATTTTCAAAAAAAAACTTCTTCTTTTTGAAGAAAAAAAATTTTTTCCTTTCAAAAAAAAGGTTACTTTAAAAAAATTTCAATTTTTTATTTAACAATTAAATTTTTTTTACTTTGAGAACAAAATTTATTTATTTCTAATAATGGAACATTTTTTTTAAACATACAATTGTTTATTACAAGAATAAGTTATTATATAATATGAGATTTAATTATTTTTAAATAAATAATTATTGAATCTGTATAAAAAAATAATCTTTTGTATTGTCTTTTTTCTTTTTATTAATTATTATTATAAAATTTAATATTGCCAATTAATTCATATATTTTTACTAATTAATGAAACAAAAAAATTTCTTTTTTGAATTAACAAAAAATATACAGTCTCCTTTTTGCCAAATATAATTTTCTGTAATAATTCGAATATAATTTGTTTTCATTTTTCTTTATTTTGATGAATTTGTTTAAATTTGTTTATTTTTTAAAATTTTTTCACTTTTACCTCTACTACTATAGGGAATTTAATAAAAATTAAGAGAACTCAAGAGAAACATTGAGTTTTAGATGATATTTATTTTCTGCATTGTGTCTCCATCTTCGTAGGAATTTCCTGAAACTTTATAAAACAGTTACTCGATCACAAAGGCAGAAATCTATATATACACCGCTCACGCAGCAAAATATCAAATATAATTTTTTTTTTTAATTTACTTTCGAGAAATTAAAATGAAAAACTTACAAAAATTAAAATTTCAAAGTTTAAAATAGTTTTTTCTTTTTACAATCGTTCAGCTTAATATTGGATCCCTAGCTGATGTAGAAAATTTAATAAACTTCAAATAAGCTGAAACTTTATATAAAATTTAATTATCTCAAAAATCTGTTGTGGACTTTGAAGGGATAATTAACACCTAGGATTATTTTCTTGAAACTCTTTCCAATTTCAGCCTTTGTTACCGAATAGGTGCGCGCCTGTAGAATGATTTTTCCATCTTCTCACTTGTCGCGAATGGTTGACTATATTGACACAGAGTAAGAGGTAAATTAATTTTTTATTTATCAATTACAATAATTAATATCAATATTAATACAAAATTAATATTCTAATAATAAATATAATTACAATAATTTGATAATGTATTTTTTATTTTTATTTCAATTATATATAATAATTAAGATGCTAGTATTTTATTTAAAAAAGATATTACAATGAACTTTAAAAACAATTATAAACCTTAAATACTAATAAAATTATTCTGTGAAGAGATATAGTCATTTTAATAAAATAAATTTCCTTAGTTACGTCGGTAAGGAAAAATCTGCTTCCTGCAAAAAGTATATATTTATTATTTATATTTTATTTAATGTTGACAAGCTCCGAAGAAAGGTACTAAAGAAGACAAAAATTTTAGGTTATGTTTGTAGTTTCTTGAGTGAAAATACACAAAGGGAGTAAACTCTTAATATAAATCAATGTATAGTTTAAAGTTCTTATTACATCTGAAATAATAAAAACTTCATTTAGTTTTACATAATTAAACAGAAACTTTTAATTAAGGTAAAAATAACACAAACATAACCTTAAAATGATTTGCTTCTTAAGTACCTTTCTTCGGAGCGCGTCACATATTGCAATAATAATTATATTATTAGTTGAATTAAAATGTAAAATTTAACTTGTAAAATTTGACTTTCACTAATTTATAAATTAAATTCCAATTTACACTTTAAATTCCAAAAGGAAAAGTCGAAATGTAAATAAAAATCAAAGTGTCAAACACATTGAAATTTTACACTATACGCGGTATTTAATTAAAAAATAATCTTTAGAAAGTAAATGAATTTTTGAAAAAGAAAAAATTTTCGAATAAGCCAAAATTGAATGGTAGAAATAAAAAGCGAAAAACACTATTATATTTACGTATTTCATGTAAGATAGGAAAATATCGAAGATCACAGTAATTGCATTGATGTATATCACACGATATTGCAGAGGAACAAATAAAAAATTTACAATCTGTGCGGGAGGAAAAAAACACCAATCTACCTAAAAAATAAAATTTATATTAATACAAAAAATACAAAATGTATTAATATTTTTAATAAAAACTTAAAATGTATTAATATTTTTAATAAAAACTTAAAATTTTTTAATTTTCAAAATTAAAAAATTTTTAAATTAAAATTTTTTAATTTTTAAAAATTACAAAAAAAAATTACAAATTTTTCATATATTATTCAAACCTTCCAGGTGTGAAAAAATTTTTGCCTCATTTCCATGTTGATTTCAGTGAGACTTTTCCTCTCAAGTAGTCCATGACCACAGAAAAATATTGCAAGACACGAAGGACTCGATATCATTTGATCGAGCATTGTTTTCTTGAAAATGGAAAATATTTTTTTCCCCGGGAAATTTTTGTCAAGAAAACGATAGAAATAATGATGAAATGGTCCCTGTAAAAGGCCAACTGTTAACATATTTTTTGTTCGATTAAAATCATAATCAGTCTTGCATGGTATCATTAAAATTTCCCTCTGATATTGATTTTCGTGATTATTTTTTTCTCTACATTCATTTTGATTTGTGGTTTTATGAGAAATTTTATTTTTATCATAAAATTCAGTTTTCAATTTTGTTTGAATTTTATTTTCAGTTTTCATTTGAATTTCATTTGTATCTGTGGATTTTATTAATTTTATCGAATTATTTTGTCTCAATTTTTCTCCTTGCTGATGAATCACATCTGCAATTGCCATCATTAATCCACAACTTGCTGTATTTGTGAATAAAAGATATTTTCCTGAAATAAAAATAGTTTTTTTTTATTTATCTTTGAATAAAAAAAAACTTATTGTATTTTAATTAATTTCCCTAGTAAAATTCAGTTTGAAAGATAAGTTTTTATTGTAAATTATATTAGTTTTAACTCTTAACACCAAGTTTTATAAAAATCCAATTTGTTTCTTAAAATTTGTCTGACATATTGGATCCACCATTTTGAATTTTGAAAAACTAAGTTCAAATTTGTAATCAGTGACGCCAAGAATCCCTTGATACTAATTTAAATACCAAATTCCATGAATTTTTTTTAAATTTTGTCCGCCATATTGGATCCGCCATTTTGAATTTTAAAAAACTAGGTTCGGATTCGTAATCAGCGACTCCTAGAATCCCTTAATACTAATTTATACCAAAATCTGTTATTTTTTAAAAATTTTGTCCGACATATTGGATCCGCCATTTTGAATTTTGAAAAACCGAGTTCAGATTAATATAAAAGTGAAATATTTTGCGATAAATAAAGAAATTTTTTATTTAACTCACGAGGAACTTATATTCCTAAAATATAATTACTCACGTATATAGTTGTCATTTATTTTTAACTGGTAAAATTTCATATTTGACAAAAATAAGAAAAAATTTAAATTATATAAATAGAAAATATGCTCTAAATGAACATTGGGGAAGATAAATTTATTTTCTAAAAATATTTTTAATAATTAATTCACTAACTTGTATTTAGAGTGAAGAAAATTATATTATTATAAAAATGACTTACCAAATAATTTGTTGAAAATGCCCATTTGTTAGGTAGGAATCAAATTTTTCACACTTGGATAATTAAAGATTTAACTAAAATTCAATTTAAGAGAAAATAAATTTTGTTCAAAAACAGAAAACTTTTGACACGATATTCACAATATTGTTATCTCAAAAAAATATTTTTTCTTTTCCCCTTATGTTTCCTGTAAAATTTAAAAATAAATTTTCTTTTTTATTGAAGTTAAAAATTAGAAAATAAATAATTTTTTTAGATCAAAATGATAAAAATTACAATTTTTTTATATTGATCCTTGATCCTTTGATGTTTATAAAGACTAAAAGTAGGTTTACCACGAAACATTCCTCCTGAATAAAAACTATAAATTGTTACTTTTTCAGATACTTTAATTTTTTTTCTACAATTGTTGAGAATTTTTTTATTATTTTGTCATACAGTGCGTTATTCTTGAGAAAAAAAAATTGTTTTATGTTTTTTTTTTTTAAATTATTATATTACATTGTACACCGATTTTAAATATAGAACTGACACCTGCTGATCATCTTCATGGGTAAATAAAGCACTTAGTTGCATTCTACGTCACAGTTTGTTTATTATTTGCAGTTTTATTATCTCATAGTTTGTTGTGTTTTACATTGGAAAATTCCGTTTAAAAGCCATTGACAAGAGTTTTTTTTTTTAAAAAACAATGTTCTATTCTTGATATAAAATTCTCAAGTGGCGTCAATAAAAACAAATTTAATTATATAACTGAGATTCTATTCGTATAAAATGGATAATTCATCTGTAATTATAAAAGTAAAATTTTTATTAAGAATTTAAAGCATAGTTATAATTAACGGTAAATATTCCACAATAATATTTATATTTTTAATTTAGCGAATAATAAAAAATAATTTTTTAAAATTAATTATTTTTTTTATAATTTAATAGAGGAATATATTGAAATAAATTTATGAACTTGTCATTAAGGAAAAAATACTAATTAAATAATTATGAAGATACTAACAGAGTTGCAGATAGGAAAAAACTAAATTTTTAGAATTGATAAGAAAATTCTGAATTTTTGTCATTTTTATTACCTTATAAATTATGAAATTACCACGAATTCTAATATAAAACCTTCAATTTTTCTATATTAACAATAATTTTTTTTTTAAAAGTTATTTTTAAAAGTAATAAAACTCCTTTTTTCAAAGTTCAATTATGTTCAAAAATTAAAAAAAAATCTCATAAAATTTTCAATTATCTTTATAAGTAATACAATTATTTTAATACAATTTTTTTCAAAATTCAATTATTTTCAAAAAATTTAATAAAATTCTTGGCAAAATTTCAATTACTTTCAAACATTTTCCTCATTTCAATTATTTTTAATATTTACTATTTTAATCAAATTTTACAAAAGAATTCAAATATTTAAACAAAATTTTAATAAAATTTTACACAAACATTTAATTATTTTCACAATAATGATCAAAATTTCACAGAAATTCAATTATTTTTAAGTTTTTAATTAAGTTTCCGGATAGAATTCAATTATATTATCAGAGAATTTAAGAAAATAATTCTTAAAAATTCAATTCTTTTAAAAAATTTGAATAACATTCTTTAAAAGATTCTATTATTTTAAAAAATGTTGATAACATTCTTTACAAGATTTAGTTAATAAAATTGCAATTTTAATAAAATTTTTAGACACAATTCAATTATTTTCAATACAATTCTTTTTAAGAATTTAATTATTTTCACAAATAACAAATTTTTTATGGGAATTCAATTATTTAAAAATATTTGCATAAAATTACTCGAAATAATTCAATTATTTAAGAAATTTTAACAAAATTCTTCCCAAGAATTCAATTTTTTAATAAGATTTCCAGAACGAATTGAATTATTTAAAAAAAAAATTCTTTTTTTAATTCTGTGAAGTTCAATTATTTCAAAAAAATTTGAATAAAATTCTTCCTATTTAAATAAAATTCTTCATAGAAAATCAATTATTTTCATAAATAATAATATTTTTCTCTGTAATTCAATTATTTTCAGAAATAAAAATCTTCACAGAAATTATCTTTAATATATACAATAATTTTAATCGAATTCCTCGAAAAATATAATTATTCTTAAAAATTTTATTCAAATTCGTCAAAAGAATTGAATTATTTCAAAATTTGTTAATATTTTTTATGAAAATTCAATTAAGAATTAAGAAACATTGAATTATTTAATAAATTATTTATTTTTGTATTTAAATAATTGAATTCTTTTAGAATTTTCTAATAAAAATTGAATTAAAAATTAATTTTTTAGTTAAAATTTTATATAATAATTGAATATTAAAAGCATAATAGCGTGGATTTTTAGAAATAATTGCATTTTCAAGAGTATTTCAAATTGAAATATTTGACAATTTAAATTTTTTCTACTTTTAACTATAACAAATCTGCAAAATTAATTTTGTTGAAAAAGGTTTATTTAATTTTTTTTATAAATTATTTCAAGTTCATTTCTAATATATATTTAATTGAAGAATTTCCGAATATTTAAAATTTCACGTAAAATTGATTTGCAATTAAATGGATTTAAAAATTCTAAAAAAAAAACTTTTAAAAAAATATTAAAAATAGTTGATTTAGAGAAGAATTTTAGTTAAAAATTCTAGAAAATAATAATTGAATTGAAATGATGAAAATAATTTTGAAAAAGTTGTAGTTACAATATTCTTATGATATAAATTAGTGATTTAATCAATCGGTTATTTTAAATTAAATTATTATTATAAAACCTGAAGAAATTTTTAATATCTTCTATTTTAACAAAATTTTACAAAAGAATTCAAATATTTAAATAAAATTTTAATAAAATTCTACACAAGCATTTAATTCGTTTCATAAATAATAAAAATTTCATAGAAAATAGTTCTGAGAAATTCAATTCTTTTGAAAAATTTGAATAAAATTCTTTAAAAGATTCTATTATTTAAAAAAATTTTGACAACATTCTTACGAAATGTTTAAATAATACTTGAACTTGTTTGCAAAAGTGATTTCAGAAAGTAAATTGCAGAGTGGGATTTTTTTTTAATGAAAAATGTCAATAATGAATAAAATAATGATGGAAAATATTCAGCGCAGTAATGACACTTGACGACCCTTTCAAATTATTTAATTATTTAATTATTTCAAATTACGACCCTTTTCTTAATAAAACCAATTTTTACGTATCCTAACTTTTCTGGTCTGTCCGCTTCTTCTGGGTTAATTAACAGTCTTAGTAGAGAAGTAAATTTAATTTCTAATGATTTAGACTTTTTTTTGGTAACAATTCATAAAGATTCACATCAGCACTGTTAAAAATTGTACTGGATTATCACTTATAAGAAGCTTCCCTACTTATCAGAATAATATTTATCACTTATTGTCAGAATTTTTGCATCAGGAACAAGAGAAATCAGTGTTTAATAGTTTTTCCCCTCCAACCTTTTATGCGACACAAATAAACAGCAAATTCGACAAAAAAAGCAATACTAGAACACACCCATCCAATAAGCAACAATTCCAACAATTGCATCATAATACTCGTCGTTTGAGAACTTTCCAATCGAAACAAATCCAATTGACTTGGTCCACGATCATGCCTCTGAAACTGATCATCATCCCATTTTTTCCCAATACCCGATTGAACTAAACGAAGAGTAATACCATCAAATCTCTCTCTATAAGGTGAACCACCGGCAAGAATCACCGTACTTGAATATGACCACATAATTTCCTCATTCAATATTTTCATACCCGAACGTCCCAATTTATCCTTATCATTATAAACAAATAATCTTGCCTGCGTTTCTCTCATAACACAAGAAACATTCTTGTAATTCTTGAGAATATTCACACAATAATCCGGAGGGCCATCATAGGGAAGTGTTATATTGAACAGTCTATCAAAATCATCAGTTAAATTAGTCACAGGTTTTAGAAGATTAACAGCAATCATTGGTTTCAATGATGTCTTGAGCATATCACCAAAAGTGTCCAATTTCAAGAATGATTCCATTTGTAATTGTGAACTCGAGATGGCTGAGAATATGTAGCTGGATTCAAGAAAGCAGGAGATTAGTAGACATGCGAATATAATTCGTTCGACAGTGAACGATGGTTCACTGGGTGCTGACATACTGAGGACCATTTGAAGAATATTTATTATCTGCCAATTGTGAATATCGAAATGAAGTAGCTTTGCTGTAATCCAAGGTAAGAGGAGAAGCATTATAACACTAAGAAGATTTAACACTTGCCAGCTACCGGAGAATGGTTCCGGTGGTCCGGGAAGAATTGGCACCAAGTGAATGTATCTGAAGAGTCGTATTCCTCTTCCGGTCACAGTGTAAGTGCCTAGGCAACTCACAAAGTTGATACCCTCAAGGGCAATGATTTGCACTTTATTGTGCATTGTTAGATTAGTGACACCAACATTTTTGTTCTTTGTACAACTGAGTTTGTCCCAATTCGTTTGATTTGAGAATTGATAGTGCATTGAGAAGGATACACTTTCAGAGAGGACTTTCAGGGCTTTTAGATCAGGTCCCGTGACGGAAATCACATGACCAGTTGAATTTTGTTTAACATTGACGTAGGGTGGATAATTAAAGACTCCAATTATAAGTGGGTAGTTGTATAAACTGTGGAGTTTGTCTGGAAAAAATTTGCAGTACTTTTGGAATTTGGGTTCTTCCCGATTGTAAAGAATAGTGGAATTATTAAAATTACAATCGCTGGTGATTTTGTTTCTAAAATACTTTTTAATAAATGGATTGTAATAGTGAATTACAACATCACTTTTGGATAAAGTTATTAAATAGTTTTCAATTTTCCTGGGAAGCAGTTCCAGTACAGTAACATCGAGAAATTGTTCCAACCATACGGTCTCGAAGAATTGGAGATATTGTTCGACATTTCTATTGCTATCAATGGAATTATTAATGTCCACTTTCTCCTTTGTCCCATCATTGACACTAATTTGATGAATAATCAAAACTTTAGAACGTGCATTCGATTGGCAGAGATATTCAATAAATTTTATTGTTCTGAATAGTGCAGTGAAATTTTCACTTGAGACAAAGATGACGAAAATAGAAGCTCGACTTTCAAACAAAGGTGGCATAAAATTGTTATTCTCTTCTTTAATTCTTTTTTTATCAATCAATAAAGAGGGATAATTCTTTTGCACTTCTGCTATGAATTCGAGAAAATTATCATTTTTCAATTCTCCGTCGACAATTTGAATTATTTGATAAGTTTCTCCTCCCTCGATGACGTATCTTATGAAATTATTGGATAATTCTTGTATTCTAGTACCGATTCCACATTGAAACGAGAGCACAATAAGAATAGAAAATAGCAAATATGTTTTTAAAATCATCTTTTGTTTTGAAAGTTATCAATAGCTATCAAAATTAATAACCAGAAGAAAAATAGAAGCTAAGGTTTTGAATCGACATTGAATTTTCACTGGGACACTAAAGGAACTGATGTTTAATTTC